TGTGCAAGTACCATAATTTCAACAACGCCCAACTATGGACATCTCAATGCTTATCCCATTTGAATCAGCGTACACCAACATGATTATCTGCACTAGGAAATACCAAAGAATATATAGAGATAAAACTCAAAAATACAGTTTTAACTGATAGTACGTCAAGCTGTCCCATATTGGACCCTGCCAACCTAAGTTGCTAAGCGAAGTACTTCTCAAACTGAAGCGATACATTTCTCAATGTTTCAACTTTATTCTAACGTTAACTTAATATTATCACCCATATGCCCGTACACACGCGAAACCCATCTCCATACAAAAACAAATAAAAATGTTTATGTATGATAAACACGTCCGGACATTAACGATAATATGGTTATACATGTTCACTATCGCAACAACGGGTAATCATCGAAAGTACTTGCATTTTACTCAGGCACTTTTGAGAAAACTGCAATCACCCGCTCATACTCGAAATGTGCCACGACCAACCTGGCACAACGATGCTCTATACGCTCTCTGATGAAAGCGCAGGGAACTTTAAATTTCAGGTGAAACCTAACCTAAACAGAATTCCAATATAGTTCTGAGTAAAATTCCGAGGGAATACTGAATATTAATCAAAGAAAATTTCGAAAAGAATTCTGATGATAATTTTACGATAATTGTGAAGAGAATTCCAATAAATTTCTGGGACCATAGAGAAGGATCATAACTTTAATTGCCGAGATTTGCACAGCCGCGCTCTCGGCAATCAATCTTACTGAGATCTCAGCAAACATGACGTTGTTTGCTGACATTCAACGGAACATTTTCTGAGACTCAGCAACCAAACGTCACTTTTGCTGAGACCTCAGTAAAACAGATTACCGAACACTTAGCTGTGCGAATCTCTTTTAGAAGTATACTAATAGTATTCTAAGGAAGATTATAATTAAATGAAAAAAATAATTTCAGAGGAACTTCCAAGAAACTCGGAGGAGGATTCCAAAGGAGCTCTGACTTGAATTACAAAATAATTTTGAAGATAATTCTTGGGATTTTTGAGGAGAATTGCAAGTTTATTCTATTAGGAATTCGTTGATAGAAGAATACCAAGGTAAGGAGCAGAATTCAAAGGGAATTCTGAAAAAATTTCATTGACAAATCTGAAGAACACTCCAATCGCATTGTTATTAGTATTCCAAAGAAATTGTGAGGACAATATAAAAGGAAATGCGAGGAAAACTTCAAGGGGATTTAATTCAAAGGATAATCTTGATGAATTCTGGTGTCTAGATAGTGAAACTAGTCTACTAAAAGGTGTATTCGTGGGAAATGGCATACACATAAACAGCTGCGATTTTTTAGCTATTATATCTAATAACTTGAATGCTCAGTGAAGAATGTTTAGTCCATAATGTACCTACAGCTTTACCCCGAAGAACGCGTTACCCACCGCTTTGTCTCGGTGGGTTTTCAACCAAGCGCTTTGATTTTCTGCGAGTGACTAGTTCTCCATTGACGCTACTCACATGAAAAAAAAAAATCAGACCCACTGGTTGGAACCCCGCCGAGACAAAGCGGTGGGTGCAACTCAGTGGGTAACGCGTTCTTCGGGGGATAGCTGTATGTGATTATTTTGAGGGTTTGACAGGTGGTTTAACTCGAGTAATGGTCATGAGAACAACATGCTGTCTAATAAATTTGGTACAGTCCCAAATTTGAAATCAGCAGTTATGCAAGGGAATTCTTTCGACATTGTTGCTATTGAATCTTGGAATCAAACCACTTTTTTTTTTTGCAAAATATTACAATTCATTCGATCACATCTCTATAATATCGGGTCACATCTCTTACAATCCTATGACATATTACGGTATTCGGCGCGATGTAAACATTGCGATTTTGTCGTCTCTTTCATTCTCCCGTTGTTTGATTTTTTGATGGAGCGATGGAGAAACAATCACATTGCCTCCCCTGCATGTTTACATCACTTTAAGTGGTCGTATAGGGTAAGAGACCAAAAGACCTTTTGTTTTCAATTGAGAGGAATTTAGCAGTTAAAAAATGAAGCAAAACAATGGAAAACAAAAAGATGAGGACGATGATAATGTCACGGTTTGGAGGTGTTCCAAGTCGATGGCGGGAGTGGTTGCGAAGGCAAACGAGTTTCGGTGATGGATGGACTTTGGAAGTATTCGGTGAGATCCCTATGAAAGAAATTCGTTGGTTGGGAGCTGCTGTTGAAGGTTTATGGAATGTACAATTTTGGTGGGATATGTTATTTCCTTGGTTATTTCCGCACAACTTTTTGAAAATATCAAAAAGCAGTTGCTGCTGGCTAGCTATGAGTGGTCCGAGATGCGATAAAGAAAGGGACAGACAGTCGAACCGTAATACACTCTAAAAATTAAATGAGAGAATGGTTAGATAATTCTGACTTATTCAAGATTATCGATGAAATCGGATGGCAAGCGCGTGTTTTTATTCTTTACGAATCGAAGAAATCCACAGAAATCGACTTTATGAAGCAAATTTTATTGAAATCTGTTAAATGAAATGTAGAATGCATTATTTTCGTCCCCCTCGGTCACACTTTAAAGATTAATTATCAGTGAATAAATTGCACAAGGAGTGGAAAAAATAAGAAAAATAAACAAAATGTCTGCTGTTTGTCACAATATTGGTAAGACAACATTTTGGTTTTTTTGATCTAAACACAAGTCAATGCTCATATTTGAATCATGTCATATGTTTTACTTATTTAAAGCTATCTGATCTATCATCCTTGTAAATTTCAAGACATTTGGAATAACATTAAAAAAAAAAATCAAATTGACCGCCCACGGTTGCTGCTCTGTTATAACCAGATCAGCTGCAATACACAGAGAACCAACAGATGATGTTTGGGACTAACATTCATCCTCAATGTGTAAGAACTGGAGATCTAATATTTAGCAATTACCAGCGCCGGCCGTGTCCAAATGCAGGTCAACTAGGGAATAGGAAGGAATGTGTTGACGTGGTACTCGCTGTGAAGGAAACCGAGAAATCCTCTGCGCTTCCACGAGAAATCACTGGGATGTTGGATGTGGGGAAAGGTTGCACGCACACGCAGGGATCGTTTTTGGTAGAGCGATTATAATACACAAACACATACACACACACGCGCGCGCACTCATCCAATTTCTATTTTTAGATCAGGACCCACACTGTGGTAGGTGATGGGATCGGTGTTAAAGAAGAATTTGTTTTCAATAAAATCTAGTGGGTATAGAATAAGGCAAAGTGAAAAATTGCAAGGAAGGGGACGGGCCTGGGATTTAACTCCCGACCTTCTGCTCAGTAAGCAGAAACGGTAACCACTGAGCTACCGAGCCTCGTCACAAGTCATTTGGAATAACATTTAAAATGATAAACCTGTTTTTGTGTGTGCCATTTTCCACGAATACACCCTTTAGTATGAGACACATTGTAGACAACATACGTGTATCTGTTGAGGATAAGCAATTAAGGAAATGGAATTAAATTGGAAGAGAACTGCAGAGTGAATTCAAGAAGTGTTCTGCAACCAGAGAGAGTTCTAAGATGAACTCTGTTGAAAATCTGAGAAGTTTCATAAGATATTGTATTAAGATAAGAAAATTTCTTAAGATATCATGTGAAGAGTTCCAGTGGTATCAAGATAGAGATCAAACATCGACTTATTTTCGCAATTCTGGACACAGAAATTAACCAACATCCAGGGTTTTGGAGAAAAAAGTTGTGAGACTTCCTTTGTTTTTATTGGTCGTGTTTAGAAAAGTTTCAAACAATGTTAGTTCTCAGATCAATATTCTGATTATGAAGAAATGATCTATTTAGTTTTTGAAATAGTTTGTATTGTAAAGCTGTTCTTTAAAGACTAATTTTCAAGCCTTAAAAACGTGTGTGGTACTTATGCCGTCGTGTTACCCAAAATAACACATTTTTTATCACCTGTAAATTTTATGATGAATCTTGATAAAACTTGAATAACTCAGGGAATTATATTAATGAAAATGAGTAGACACCCTGTCCTAACAAATCTTGTTTTAGTCATAAAAATGCTTTTAAATAATCATGATGGGTCATGAATTTATAACAATTCTCAATGTGCTAAAATTAGGTCAAAAATCAGTTTAATTTAGGATTTTCTTATACAAATCATCTTTACATAGACAGTGATTTTTTCTAAGCCATTATGGAGAGTTTTAATTTTTGATAGTTGATTGAACAGTAATAAGCTCTAGGTTTGACATTGAAATCGAACATATTCAAGTTATAACCAGAACTTAAAATTATTTACTGTTCAGGCTGATTCCGATAGCGCCGCACCATACAATTCGTTCCCCTATCCACATATCCACACAACAAGGTGAATGCAGGAGCTTAGAAAGAGCCAAACAAACACATTCGGTTACTCACGGAGAGGCAACTCACACCGTTTGCCTTCGGTAACTTTCTCGGAGAGACAACAAGCACACAATAAAAATATAACTGCCGACTGGAATAAATGAGAAGTGAAGGCAGTGATTTTCACTTCAATTCAAATATTCATCAATCAGTCATTACCTCGTCGCAGTAGATGAAATTTGTTCTCGAGATGATTTTTATCGAAAACCAGCCTAAAAGGTGAACCTGAGCATTTAGTGTTGGTACCTGAAAAAAAACTGGAAAACTAAAACAAAAAACATCTAAGAATAAGGATTCCTCTTTGTAATATATCGAGCTGCTAAAGACGTTTTCGGTGTTCTTCAAATGAAAGCTGCTAACCTAACCAGATGGCTAACAGATAGATGGACTTTTATTCAGTACGAATGTTACACAAACGCTAAACGATCCTTTCAGATTCTAGAATTCCAGAACAACCAACATACATTCAACCAATTATCCAAGGTAAACTGTGCGCAGAAAATGCTTGTAAACCCGAAACGTTCCAAATCTTACAAACCCAACTCTTTGCTTCAAAACACTAAAGCAATTTTTCTTCTTCCCCCAACCAGGTGGACGACCAGATGAAGCTGCTGCAGAACAGCTGGTCCGACATGCTGGTGCTGGATCACATCCACCAGCGGTTACACAACGGCCTGCCGGACGAAACCACCCTGCACAATGGGCAAAAGTTTGATCTCTTAGGTTTAGGGCTGCTGGGCGTGCCGAGCCTGGTCGAGCACTTTAACGAGCTGCAAAACAAGCTGCAGGAGCTCAAGTTCGACGTCGGCGACTACATCTGCATGAAATTCCTGCTGCTGTTGAATCCTGGTAAGGGCTTTTTAATTTCGAGAAGAAAACAATGGGTGGAACGGAGGTTTAATTGGTGGTTTTCTTTGTGTCTCTTCCGCTTAATAGTAGAAGTACGGGGGATCACCAACCGGAAAACGGTGGTCGAAGGCTATGAGAATGTGCAAGCAGCGCTGCTGGATTACACCCTCACCTGTTATCCGTCGGTGCCTGTAAGTAGACTACCATACACCGAGCGTTTCCATGGGAGATTCCATTGACGATGGAGACGCGTGGTGAATGTTGATTGTTTGTTTTGGTATCAAAAGATTAACCCATTTCCTTTGCAAACTCCGATCACTGTAGGATAAGTTTAGTAAGTTGCTCAGTATTATTCCGGAAATCCACGCGATGGCCACCCGAGGCGAGGAGCACCTGTACATTAAGCACTGTGCCGGCAGTGCGCCTTCCCAGACGCTATTGATGGAGATGCTGCACGCCAAGCGGAAATGAAGTCACCGGCGTCGTCGTCTTTCTTAGTTATTGTGATCGCCATGGGCGTTGGGAGCATAGCACTAGAAGCAGTGGGAAGGTTGCCTAGGGGTTTAAGTTAGCAGCGAAAACACCAACTCCTTACCACTCAATCCAGCCAATCGGAGACAAACCAACAAAAACACCTTCGAAGATGATGTGAACGATGTGTGGATAGCAGAAGCAGAAATGTGTTCTTTTCGTTTCTTGATAAATGAGTACTTTAGTTGCATCGAGCGAAGCGAATGTTCCATGCCTTCTTGTTAAACTACTTTGTAATAATTTAACAGTTAACTAAGGCGTCCATTTTGAGCGAAAGGTAAGTACCCATATCGAGTCAGTGTCTGTAAAATTAACATAACGTTTATCTTACACAAACGCAGGTGTGAATAGTCCCCGACCTGAAGCGAAAAATCGTGAAAAATCCGTACCATAACTCGTAAAATGGAGCAGCAAGCCATACAGCCAACGCGTCTGTGTGCGATTCAACCACTCTTTAAAAAGTGCACTACAACTACTACTACTACACAAGTTGGAGAAAACAATGACGTTACCATTTCATCTCAGCGATTTAAATTTTAATTCTACAGTAAATTGTGAAACCAGCAAACGTGTAATAGTCGTCAGTTCAAAAACAAAAATCAATTACCCGATGAATCTAATGCAAAAACAGAAACAGTGTGTCAAACAATGACCACGAATCAAAGTTCTCAAAACAGAAACGGACAAAACAACAGATTACCGCAGATTGCAACTCTCAACGTGACACTAGGAACATGTTTAAAATCTTAAAATCAAATAGAATATATACAAACCCAAACGCAAAAAAAAAACCAACATACAGAACGTAAAACAAAGGATCTAAAACTAAGTGTTCAATAAATGTTAAATCAAGCTGTTAACGAATTCTCCTTAATAACAAACAAAGCAGAAAAATTACTCTTTTTTCTCGTGTAAGAGTCACCTGATTTTTTTTAATTTCTCGGAACGTTAGTGCAATATTTATGCAAAAGAAAAACAAAACAAAAAACCACCACAAACCGCAGCAATCCATGTCATCCCTGACGCATCTCACAACCAAACAAATACAAATCCAAGCGAGTTTTGCACCCTTATAGAAAATCGTTCCTCTTTATCCTACTACACCACAATCACCATCTGCGCGGGCTTAACGCACCAAATGAACAAAAACAAAACAATATTGCCGTTATTAAAAGAAGAAGAAAAAAAATAATAATCAGTAAACAAAACATCCAATCAAAAAGTTGTTGAATCAGCTCCTACTTGTTGAACAAAATACCCAAACACACCCACGAAAATACAGCCGTATACTAAATGTTACCAATTTACACACGCAGTCGGAAAAATCAAACACACAAAAGCAAAACCTACAGAGAGATAAAAGTGTCCAAGAGCAACCCGTGTTGATTCGTGTTGTGCTGAAAGGGATAAACAAATATATGATAGGTGTCACTAGATGGAGCAAGAGAAGCCGTAGATTTCATCGCATCGAACATACACAAAACATTTGCATCACAAAATGGCAGTAGTGCTTTTAAGACAGAAAACTAAAACTATATCATTGTTGAAGGATTTTTAATTAGAAACGAAAACACACAAAAAAAAACCGCGAATGAATGATTGGTCAGAGTTTGGTCCGAGTCGAGTTGCAATAAAAGCCTAGAAGAAGCAAACGCGTTTCACCGGAGGGATCTGTTTCAGTGTCAGTGGCTGTGTGCTATAATTTTTCACTCTTCGGCGGGCTTTTCTTGTTCTAGTACTTCTACTGCACGGTGTCTTGGCTGCTGGGGATTCTTGTCTTGGGTGTTGGGTGGGAAGCACACGAATGATGTTTTCTAGTACTGCCTCAATACCCGATCACGAATGTGTAAGAAATTTAGCATTTGTAATGCAGGCCATAATGAAGATTAAATATAAGTAATGTACAGATTGTATCACTAAAAATCCAGCGTTACAACTTTGCAACTGCAGGTGAATTTAGATATTACAATGCTGAGGTTACATTGTGATGAATCTAACAAAACATGATGTGAAACTAGCTATTTGCAGATGTTCATCGCAAGCTCAGTCTAGAACGTGAAGAAATCCGCTCGCAACTTGTCTGGTAGCTGGTTATTACGGTCAGTCTATCAGCAGCCTTGGTATCCTCTGTTCTCTCTCTCTCTCTCGATTGATCTTGAACATTGGGAATGCGGTCTCTATCGTAGATGTTCAGTTTGAGAAATAATGTGAAGTTAATTAGGATCCGTAATAGCTTCAGATGATGCTATAGTACATTGGACACTAAGCAGGTAAAGATTATTCCAGCACCCGTGTACTCATTATTGATTATCGATTGGCACCAGTGACATCAGTGGCGTCCAGGATATCGTTCCAAGGTTATAGATAAAAGGAGTACTGAATCTGGTTATTACTAATTTTCTAGTCCTACTTTTACCTGATTATAAATAATCCTATAAGAAGAATCCAAATCCAGAATCCAAAGAAGTCCTGACGAATTTCACGGCATCTAGGGAAAACACCCCACAAAATTAGACCAAACAAGTACAAGGTCGTTACTGATGATATTATTCTTCTGAATTAAGCGATCATCAATTACTTCCAAATTATGTATTTCTCTACTTTACAATCTACTTGCAGTGAGACGGCTGGTGTGGAGCTGAAACCTCCACCCATACCGATCATTTAATTTGGAAGATTCCACTCACAGGTGCCCAATTTCAATGAAAACCATTCTGAAGCCGAGGAACAATTTCATTCTGAAATCTGCAGCTCTATGACACGATGTCATTTTCACGTAGGTAACATGTCATACGTGACAATGGGCTCAGCACAGCAAAATTAATGACTAGGCCCGGGACATGCTGCCTTATGTTAAACTCTGCTGTTAGTTTACACACTTAGAAAAATTCATGCAAATTTAGGTGCCGTGGGAGTGACATATACGAACGTCAATTTTGACATAAATTTGAGTCATAACAGACGATAAATATGTTTCTCACCCCAATGGGTCTAGGTTCAATCCCAGCCGAGATCGGTGGACTTTTTCTGAGGCATAAAAATCTCTGGCCACGTCTTCCTTCGGAAGGGAAGTAAAGCAGTTGGTCACGGCCCATGTGTGTTGTGAATGGGTGCGATATCCTACGCAGGTGTGGAAGCCGAGGGGGACGACTCTATCTACGATGCAGGAAATATTGTGTTTTGCTGTGGCTAGCTGCGCGTACGCTGAGTAGATAGAAAGAAAATGTATCACGATTTTGAAAATTTCCTGCAAAAATATGATGCGCGATGCAAGTAAATGCAAGAAATGAAAGAAGATTTTTCAAAGATTTATTGGCTAGTGTGAGATTTTTTAAGCATCTAGAATTGAGATTTAGATGTGTCGCCCCCCTCGGTGGAAGCTGCCTTCCTGTCAATGGATGGCAATCGATGTCCGTCGGTGATTGGCACTAGATTGCGGAACAGAGACCGACGTTAAATAAAGGAATGAAGAAGAATTTACACGATAAATATAGATTAATCAAACGTACTTTTCGTCGAGCAACGAACTTTTCAGTCTCGGAGCGCTTAATATTACATGACATGTTTGTTTACGTCTCATATTTTATGTCAAAGATGGATTCCGTCACGTGTAAAATTAGTTATTTCTAATTGTGTAGACCATGTCACTGAACTGGAAATCTTTCCATGAAGAAAGTGTATATGATTACAAATTCGGTGCGATCCATTAAGTAGGGGGAAATAAGGTATAGGAAAAACGGACGAAAGAGGGAAAGGGTTATTAATTTTTCGTGAATTTCACGTGACGTACTTGACACGAAGAATGTACTTAAAATGTGAAGCAAGGAATACTGGCAACACTGTCCATATTTAAACCATGTACACACCATGGATGAGTGCACCGATGGATTTGAGTTCACTCACTCGAGAAAAAGTGACACAAGCTGCGGGCTATGTTTACTAATCATGAACACTAAATGTTCATTATTAATTATTCATGAACATTTAGTGTTCATGATTAGTAAACATTGCCCGCAGCTTGTGTCACTTTTTCTCGAGTGAGTGAACTCAAATTCATCGGTGCACTCGTCCATGCAACCCCTAATAAACAAATTCCATAAACGAATAGTAACCCGGATGGTTGAACTATTTCACAAATTGTTTGGATGATACCCCGAACAAGATCGGTCAAAACTGAACCTACCCAAAAATGGGTAAGTTATATTGGGAGTGACAAGTTGACAAATGAACAAATTCGATCGGATTCATGTCAATGTTGTCCATTTGTCAACTTGTCACTTCCAACATAGTTTACCCATTTTTGGGTAGGTTCAGTTTTGACCGATCTGGGTGGATTCCACCCAAATTTGGGTAATTTTGGAATAGCGTGTGATAGCCAGCGTTCAAGTGACATTTCGCAGACCATGTGAGTTGATCGCCAAATTGAATTATCTAATCCGGGCGTTATCCTTTTACTCCACATAGAAAATCCATTCGCAAATAGGTCTGTTCCCAAACGTGCTTTTTCGCTGTTGCTGTGAACAAACTTTTGCTTTTTGTTGAACATAATCTTACAGAAAAACAAGAACAGGAACAAACCAAATGTCAGCCGGTGCATGAATATCTGGCTCCGTGCTGGGTTCCGTCAAGGTGAATTTAGAGTAACAGAGTTCAAATACCCAGTTCGAGCTCATTCGAAGTTCTAGTATAAGACTGGGGGTTATTTCGAGAGTCGAAGTGATTTTGGTCACTAGTGAAGTGAGAAAAATCACGTCGTGGTGACGTGACTCCCTGTGCAAATCAAATGGAGAGTCACGTCACCACGACGTGGCTTTTCTCACTTCACTAGTGACAAAAGTCACTTCGACTCTCGGAATAACCCCCAGTCTGTGTATAAGAGTTACGTCAAGAGAAAAACAGTGAAACTCGCATCACGGTTTTCGACAGATTTCCTTCCCTTTCGCTTGACAACAGAGGACTTCTGTATCAACTTCAAATGACTTCTAGCAAGAAAACAATTTAGCGAGCTTCACAGCAAATTGCTTTATGAAATTACATTATATTTTATATTCGATTGCAATAACTTTCGTGGAGCTTTTGGACGATAGGTAGCTGGCTTGACAGTTCAATAGATAGACTTGGCTTCACTCTTGGCGTAACTCACCGACTCTAGTTCGAAGTTGCTCGAACTTACTCAAGATTTTGATGTCAACAAGTAGCTTTGAACCTACTTCGAGCTTCACAGCAAATTGCTTTATGAAATTACATCAATATTTATTTGACGTCACCTTGCGAGTTTGAACTGAGCCGAGCGTAGCATTTTTCTGAGGAGTTTGAATTCCTTCTGCCAAATCATTCCACTGAGCTTCACAGCTTGTGAGCGAAGGGGGATAAAAAGTTCATGTTTTTATAACACGCTCTTACTTTCACTCTGGGTGAACTCTGAGCTTCTTGCGTCGAACGAAAAAGTCATACGGAATCTCGAAAAGCGTACCTCGCGTCAAATCATCCTCTCGCTGAAGTTCACTCTTCCTTTCTCTCGAAGAGTTTTTGTTTACTTCTTCCATACTCCTGCTGCCACTCACTCGAAGTGAGGGCTGGCTAAACTCGCAGGGAAAGAGTGTTTTAAAACCTCCAGTGAGTTTGAGGAGTTTCAGCAAGCCTGGTCGTCAATCACGTCGTACGTAGTTTGAGCCGCATGTCTTTATGTATACGAAACAACTCCTTACGATACTTTGCTTTGGAAGTAGAGACCTGGGTACTGTGGAGTTGTTCGATTTAATTTTGTAAACTGGAAAATTACTTGAAAATATTCTCAATTTTATAACTGTTTTTCTGTTTCTCGGTCGATTCCCACCAAAAGCTAAGAGTCA